TAGAAAACTAAAGAATGAGCAATACGAACCCCACCAAAAACCTTGTCAAATTCAATATATTTTTCAAGTTAAGCTCAGGAACAGTATACGTACAGATAAGTGAACATATATTGGTAGATGTCAGGGCGAAAACACTTTTAATCGGGTGTATTGATATAATTGCTTCATATCTTGTTTTGCATGTCGATATTGACATTCAGGGTCGGTTGGTAACAATATTTAATTTAATATCCGTTTAGCAACAGTCTTATAGTGTATGTAAATAGAAAATACCAAACGCTAAAGTTTCAATATATAAGGAAATGTTTTTTTCTAATCGTGATTGATTGACAGTTAAAGATCATGTCACATATTACCCTAGATAAGTTTCAAATGTTGTAATCATATTCGCATCCTCGTTTCCTCAATTGTAATATCAAAGAATGTTTTCCTGGCATAAACAGCTTGAATAGTTCCATTCAAAAGCTACTTAGTCATTCGAAATCATCCCCCATTTCGGTTATTGATGGTTATCGCGTTACATGATCTTTTGTTTTTTGCATGGTGTATAACGGAAAGTTGTTCGTCTTTTTGTCGTTATTCGTTTGAACATTGGGATGATTTGTTTTTAGTTAAAACTCCCTTCATATGCCTATAAAAGTATATGCTAAAATTTAAGATGATTTATGTTTTATGCTATGCTTTGAGTGTTGAAACGCATTGAAAATTATAACAATGTAATGGTGTTTCGCGAAGAAAATTATATATGTTCTTTCCACCGAAGTTAGCAAAGGGTTATTTACTTCTATCCGTGAAATGGACTACCCTAGTTATAGTTTGCAAACCATTTTTTTGGCCTTTCATCGTTTTTGATTCAAGCGTCACTGATGAATCTTTTGTAAACAAAACGCACGTATGAGGTACAAAATTTTACGCTAGTATACCCGACAACAAATGGATTAAAATAGATACTTGCCTTTCTTCGTAACAGGATACTTATTACGTCTGTACGAAAGAGTTAGTCCATTCAACATAAGAATAACCAAATGAAAAAGAAAATGGTATTTGAATTCCATGTATGTCATCTGTCAAAACGTTTAGTAAATACCTCTTGAATGTTACTCACTGAAAAACAGTTGTTATGTTTTGCTGTTTCGTTTGAATTTCTGTATGATGGCTAGTTGCGTCAATAAAAAAAAACGCACAGTGTGTAGGATTGTTTTATGTTTTCTGTCAAATAACCCATTGTGTAGGATTGCTTTATGTTTCCTTTCAAATAACTCACTGTGTAAGATTGTTTTAAATATGTCGTCTCAAATAACTCACATTGGACAATTGTTGTTTGTAATATATCGTCTATGCTCACCGAAAAAGCTCACACAGTTGTTTGTTTTGTTATCTCACTTTGAAAAACTGTGCCAGGTGTATGTTATGTTTCCTAACTGATTATGAACAACTGAAACAGCAATATGCAATATGTCGTCTTAACTTACTTCAAGAAACCGTGACAGATGTATGTTACATAAATGTAATGTCTGATGTAATTCATTCGTAATATTGTTGTTTTTAAGATTTTAAAAACCGCTTAAGTCCTATTGATGCACATGTTGCAGTATAGATGTTGTTTCAATTGCCTCTCGGAATGACTACTAAATCAAAACTAAATCTTTAGAGTAACTAGGACGAATATGTTGCAATGCATACAAGCATGTAATGTGATATATCCAATTTAATTACCTTAAATATATGCAACATATTGTAATATAGCGCGGCCAGAATCTAAGTAAATTTGGAAGGTTATGTTGACAAATATAAGATTTATACTACATTCAGGTTTTCCGAAATTCTAATGTCGAACTCATATACAAGCAAATGTTTGTTTTCTCTTTTGAATTGTTTTACATTTGTCATTTCGGGGCCTTTTATAGCTTACTGTGCAGTATGGGTTTCCTTCATTGTGACGCACGGTGACCTTTAGTTGTTAATTTCTGTTTCATTTGGTTTCTTGTGAAGAGGAGTCTCATTGGCAACCATACCACATCTCCTTAATTTTATTTATGGTAATTTCAATATTAAACAATTAGCAGTAAATTTACTGAGGGTAGACAAAGGGTAGCTCAACCATAAGGTTAGATAAAACTCATCAATCTTAATATTAACGTTAGTTATCATTGTCCAGTAACATTACACATGTTACTGTATTTTCATAAAAGAATACACACATGAATTGTTGTGGTGTATAAGATATACGAGTCAAAATGTAATATTTTATATCACATTTATAGGGGAAGACGGTGCGTGGGTGGACGGGTGGGTGGGTTGGGCTATATTTCTTTTCTGGTTTCATGGCAGTTGTACCACATAAAAGCAGATTAACAATTTTGAAGGAATTTATTCAGAATAGTTGTTTTCTCATTTTTATGTGTGCCAATCCAAAGTTTTCTTCCAATATTGCAATTTTGAATCAAGATAAAAAAATTTCAAAGACCCTCCCTAAATCAATAATGTGGCTGGTCCCCATAAGAAAATGACAATATTTGGATATGTGATAGTGTAAAAGGTGCATATCAATCTAAAAAAAATCATGAATTGGCACAAACATGACAAAAAAGCACAAACTTGTAATGTACATGATACACGACAAAAATGAACATTGTAAGTTCAACTACTACTATTTCCAATACTGTGTGAATCCACTGGATTTTATACTTTTGGTTTTTAATAATCCTACATATGAATGTAAAAACATTTGTTTCAAAAGTGGTATGAAAGTATACGTATAGCGTCATTAATTTTATCTCTCGTATTGTCCCTTCATTGTAGCGATAAATTAACAGAATTTCACATTAGTCGTGACGCAAGTTAAACCTTTTTTGTTTTGTTTTAACGTAACTATGTTTTCTTACATTGCAGTCTTTAAATATAAAAATTATTGTTTCTGCCTAAAAACATTAAAGGATTCATTCTTGTCTTTATTTCCTTATAATTGAGATATAATGAATACATAAATTTATTTAAATATCACATAACAAAACTAATAAGCGAAATAGTAAAGAACAAAAAAGTTTTTTTTTTTACATATACAGATAAATATACACTTAAGGCACACGGCATAAAGTCCCTATGCAATCTCTAATGATGACATATCATGTATTGCCTAACCTGACACAACGTCCATATGCTGCTATGCATTGAGCAACATGGACGTGGTAAAGCTTCTCAATCTACGAATGTTCGGCAATGAAATTTAATGGAATTCGTCCAAAGTAAAATTTGGTAAACTACATCATCATTATATTCGCTTAGTTCGCAAAACAGTTTTAGCGAAAAATTCTCAATAATCATATTTCACCACAATTCAAGCAGCTCTGTAGTACAAATGCAAGTACAACATGCATGTACATAGACATCATCAAAGAGTTTGTTGCATGCAACGCATCTCCTGATAAATTTCGTTTTTCGGTTAACAGTTTTGTAACATAATAGGAATTTCGCATTTCTGCAAAGGATCGTGCTTTTTCCCAGCAGTTGCTAATAGAAACTGTCTTGTGAATATTTTTAAAACGCATAAAATTGTCATCTGACGAAATATGGTTTAACCAGTTGACTGACTGCTGTTCGTTAACTGTTTTGTGAAGAATCGATTTCCATTGTCTTTTTGATGGGAAACTCCAAGTATCAATTTATTCGGTATTAATAGAATATTTTTAACAAACTGTTGTTTTTCTTTTAATCAGGGTAAATAGTGAACTTACACAGGTCATTATTGTATGCCTTGAATCACATTTCATTGCCACTTGGTATCGTCCGAAATGTTTTTTAAAAAAACCCAGACCTATCTTTCTGAAAGGACGTTACTCCATACAGGTGTATCATTTTATTGGAAATTTATTATATTCAACTTCAGGGTAAAAGTGTTAATTAAGATCCCTCAATGTGGTGGTGAACCAAGCAAAAAAAAGTATAACTATAACCATTTCACATATCTCAATGTATTGACTACACATGTGATTAAGACATTTTACAGTTTCATTCACAGAGGTGTGTTCCTGACAAAAACAGTGCTCCAGCAGGGTTAGAAGGAGGAAAATATGGAGGCAATAATAGTTAACCAATGTTCTAATCTCAAAACTCTATTAAGAATTAAATATTTAGGAGGGAAATGAGGAAAACGAATGAACCACAACAACATGTTTTGTACCAGTTTCAATTCAGGAGTCTGTAGTTTTATGATGTTGTCCGTTGGTATTTGTCGTTTTCGTTTTACGTTTGTTAATCAGGTAGTTGGTTTTATTATTTGATTTTTGTTCATGTTGTCATGTCAGAGCCTTTTGCCTGACTATGCGGAAGGGTTTTGCTCATTGTTGATGAAACTCCAATGATTGACTATGGTAAAGAAATATGATAATCGCTTGGTCTTCATCTGACCGGTAGTAAATGTTTTGCCAAAGTTGGCGTCTGTTTGGGTGTGGTGGGTGTATGAATTTGCAGTCATGTCTGATATTTTAATAGGGACATTCAATCAGATGACTCGTGGAATAGAGCGTCAAGCTCTTTTAGCATTAAGAATCCTTATACCTATTTGCGTGATCCATAGGTAGCCTGTTGTAAATGTAAATGTCTGTCCCTATAAACAATATCCCATAATTTTCTAATTGAACTCTTAATTTCTAAATTTCTACTCTCATGACTCTATTCATGTGAAGACATTTTTTATCCCAGACTTATCAAAAACTAGTTAATCATATTGTTTAATGTATTCACATGTAGAATTTAATCTTGCAAGCAGGTACATATATCTATATATACAGTTCTATTGATACACATTGATGTCTTCATCAAATATACATGTATGCTGTAGTATATAAACTAAGAAATTGTTGAATGATAAGAAATATTTTAAATTAACACTGTCAGCATGAAAAGCGTAAAACGATAACTAATTAAACCAAAATAATGATATGAATGAAGAACGTAAAATATAAAATATGGAAGAAGAAGAAAATATTCAACAGAGGCTATCAATATCCTGTTGTTGATAAATGAAAGAAATTTTTAAAAAAATATTCAAAGATTATTTAGTCCAAAAAGCGCATTGGACGCACGAAATAATTTTCATTGTTATTTTCATATCAATTATAGCAGTAATGTGTTCAAACCAGCATTGAATTACAGAACACGTTTTACAGCAGCGTCTACATGGCCATCTCTATAAATATTTGAATTGTTCCATTCTTAATTGATACACATCATCAATGAACATAGTTTTTTCGCGCCCAACTTAAGAGTAGATTCTTTGTTTAAAGCAAACATTTAAATAACTATGTGAAATTTACATGAAATATTGTAAAGCTTTAATATAGTAATAATACCCTTCGCAAATTCTATTTATTTTCATAATATGTTTTCTGTAATTTACTGATTAACAAAATAAACATGCTAGACTACTTAATTTTCTTGAAGTCAAAAAAATACCCTTTTCACTAACTGCAGCCGTCTCAGGCAAGACAGATGTTTACGTGGAAAAAAAAAATGAGAAAAGAAGGCACCTTCCATCCACAATCCCTCCCCAATCATTCAAGGATTCGAATGTTTTAGGAAGCACAGTAAAATACAAACTTTGATTCAAATTTTGATAGTCTGACAATACTTTCTTAAACCAGAGAGGTGCAGCATATCCGAAACAAGTTGTATACATATTGTAGAAATATAACTCTGTAGAATAATACATTTTATTTACATGCAACATACTTTGTTTCTAAAATGCAAAATAATAATTTCCCAAAGTTTTACTTTTAGTATGTAAGACAGTTTAGTTAGTTGTCAAAATAGACAATTTTGATTAAACTATTTATCTTTGTAAGACAAAACAACAATTTCTTTTTATCTTAAAATCATTTAACATTTGTCAATTGCAATTTGTTTGTAAATTTAATGTTAGTCGTGGGCGATAAACACACATACAATTGAGTAATGTTTCGAATTATGTTGATATTATAATAGAACTTTTACGTGGTTTTTTATTGTTGATATTGCAATTAGTATGTTTTTGAATTTTTGGTGCTTTGTCTTGAAAGCACTATTATTGTAATTATTTGAATAATATTGCCATGGTATTTTAACCTACCTTTTTTTTCAATTTTTGAAGGTTTCATTTTCCATCCATTCAGGCAAAATGTTGTTTGGTATGTTGCCATGGCAACATATATAAACTAAAACAAAACTGAACCAGTAACCTGACAACATTGTCTTATTATAAAAGGCGAAAACTTTTGGTATGTCACATGTCACGAATCACACTCTTAACTGAAGCGTGGAAAGGGGATATCAAAAATGAGGCCGCTTCCCTTAGAACGAAACTTGTTAATCTTTAATTTTTAAAAATGAAAGTACTTTTATCATATTTATAAAACGAAATCACAGCAAGAGAATGTTTAACTTGGATCACAACATGCTTATTGCTGAAAGTTTTTAGACCCGTTACAGTCGTAATAGTTTTTTGAGGCTTTTGTTAAGAAACATTCCATTTTGATCAGCACCAGACTTGTTCAGTTGCTCTTTAAATGCGTTTATATGTTGTCCCATATGCTGTAAGATTGAAAAACAATAATATTTGAAAAAATAATTATATTATATAATATATATATGTAATAAATTTGTATAACAAATGGTAGAATAGAGAGTAGACTATTCTACACGGAGCTATGCTTATATACGTAGTCTAAAGCTTCGCTTGAAGTATGTTAGATGTTTTTAAGATACGCGCTTTTGAGACATTTTGAGATCCCAAATTAAATCTGTCAAGTTTTAGATATGCAAGAGCCCATTTGTGTATTGAATTGTGTCTTAAGCAAAGCATTCAATAATATATGGTTAGTATGTTTTTTAGTTAAATTTCAAATATATATGAAATCAAGAGTTAATCTCAATCTTTGATAAAAAGTCATATATTTTTTAGATAGCGACGACTTAAAAATAAAAACATTAGTCTACGTAGCATGTTGTCCATCCATCATATGCAATGATAATGTATAATAGACAGACCCTCGTAAGATTGAAATAACATTAACAATACTATTCTTTTCTGCACCAGATGCCCATTTTGACAATGTGTCTCTTAAAAGAGGGGCAAAAGATACCAAAGGGACATTCAAACTCATAAGTCGAAAATAAATTGACAACGCCATGGCTAAAAAAGAAAAAGACAAACAGACAAACAGACAAACAATAGTACACAAAACACAACATAGAAAACTAAAGACTGAGCAAAACGAACCCAATCAAAAACTGGGGGTGATCTCAGGTGCTCCGGAAGGGTAAGCAGATCCTGTTCCAAATTTACGAAGGGATGATTTCAACTTCACCACTTGGAACTCTTGGTTTAATAGCTTTTTTGTGAACAGCAACCCTCTATTAAGGAAATCATGATAGGAAATACAAGCCCTGAAGTATCGTATCAACTGGGAGATATATACTCCGTATGCAGGCGCTGCTGGAATGTTGCTACATAAGAATGGATAGTTTATAATTGGGAAGCTTAAATCATCTCTTTTGTCATAAAGTTTTGTTTTCAGACGACCCTCATTGTCAATTTCTAGATGTAAGTCAAGATATGAATCAGATTTAACTGCATCTGTTGTATCCTTTATCTCAAGTTCGATGGGATAGATTCGTTCAACATAGTCACCAAATGTTGAATTATTTAGTGAGAGAACATCATCTACGTAGCGGGAAGTAAAGTTAAAGGATACTTTCTTTCTTTCTATGAAGTTCCTGTATGAAGTCAGCTTCATAGGAATAAAGGAACAAGTCGACAAGAAGAGGGACACAGTTGGTTCCCATGGGAATGCCGATTGTTTGTTGAAAAACACGTCCTCCAAACGTAACAAATATGTTGTCAATCAAGAAATCAAGCATCTTGATAATGTCAGTTTCAAAGAATTTTTTGTTAGAATCAGAGTGATTTATTACAAAGTAGGATTTATCCATCCCTAAGACCAGATACTTGTATCAACGTTGGCCATTCTTTTTTATGAAACAAAGTAGGACCAACTCTTCCAATTTGTCGTTTAGTTTGGAATGGGGAATACTTGTGTAAAGTGAAGAAAAGTCAAATGTTTTAATACTATTGCAAAATGAAAGAGTCTTAGACTGTATGTACTCTAAAAGATGTTTGGATTATTACAGTATCCACATCTGCTTCACGCCACCTCTTTAATAGGTAGTTTCACAATAACTTTGAAGCCCGGCTTTGATTGCTGATAAAATTAATGTTAAAAATTTAGAAAGAAATTTTCTGGCACACTTGGAAGACCCAGCATGACACTTATGCAGTTTATGTATCCAATACAGTGATGGAAGATCAAGTTCTTCATCTTTAGTTGAAATTCGAGAGGAACATAGAACAGACTTATGAGTATCCAGGATTTCCTCGTTAGTAAGTGTCGTGGGGGGTCTTTGTTGGGTTTCCAAGTAAATTGTCAATACCTAATTCATTTTGTTTCGGGCCTTATCTGTGGGGAGAACAACATATTTGTTATAGGGTAGGACAAGTGTTTAGCAACATTTGGGTCTTTAAAGATTGATGCAGCATAGGTATTAAAAAGTAAAATCACAAAAATACTGAACTCCGAGGATAATTCAAAACGGAAAGTCCCTAATCAAATGGCAAATTCAAAAGCTCAAACTCATCAAACGAATGGATAACAACTGTCATATTCCTGACTTGGTACAGGCATTTTCTTATGTAGAAAATGGTGGATTGAACCTGGTGTTATAGCTAGATAAACCTCTCACTTGTATGACAGTTGCATACAATTCCATAGACCCATTCAGTTTCTCAATTTTGATTTGTATTAACGACCTCACAGCCTTAATCTACACGGAAAGAGTATCTACGTCTTCTTTCTCGCGTTTAACCCATTGCCTGGCATAATCCTCGACTGAATCCATCAGTATTTTGAAGCTGTGTTTCCAATTGATTGATTTATGCTCACTTTAATTCGGGCCTTTGGATAATACATTTCGCAGGGAAGTGTTATTGACAATGTTTAGGTCACCAGTAATAACATGGCCAGCCGGATTATATATAAATGGGGAACTAGCACAGGTACAATCAGGAGGTTTAGACTTAAAGTCGTCAATATTGAGATCCTGCAACACGTGTTTGTAATTGAAAATTTTAGCTGAAATTGGTTTGGTATAGGTATAAGAAATGATAGGTACAGACTGATCCTTAACATAGGGAGGTATTTTCGAGTGAACTAATTTATGATGAAGGATATTGCTCAAGTTAATGGCGTCGAGACCTTTATTGGCAAAGGAAAGTTTAAGAAAGGGTCTTTTCTCATTTTCATCTTTTCCCAATGCGAACTGGTTTGAAAAGTCTGTGACTTGCAATATCCGAAATGAGAGCTGTACATACGTTTGTATTGGTTGGAATGCGGGTTTGTAACAGTGGTTTCAAAACATAAGTTTTACAGAGAATGAAGTTTTGAAAGTGGTAATGAATAAAGTTTTGTGCGAATGTGATGAATACCTAATGGCTTTAGTGATGTTCGAGATCCAAATAATTGAAAATCCAAAAATAATCAACAAAACAAAGATATTTTAGAATAAAAAGAATAAAAAGTATAACCAAACCCGGTCAAGGAATCAGAGCTTTGCATGAGGAAGACTTTAACGTGTTTTTAATACATGCATTTTCTCTCCTTTTGTTATGTTTAAAAAAGTTATTTATAAGTTAATTTTGCTTTCACTTAATTATTATTTCAGAATAAAACCTAATCTGACGGCTACTTTTGTTGTCCTTGCCTTGTAAATATGGTCCTCAATACCGGGAAGAAAATCCCAGTCTTTAGCTAAATGTGGAACACCATCTAAAGCCATCCATTCTCTTCCTACATCAGTGGCAAATCTTTCCCATCCTTTTGTGTTGATGACACTTAAAATTTCTATATACAGTACGTGACCAGATCCGCCATAGTCAGGATTTCCGATTATACCAGGACAAAGAAGTGTATCACTAAAATGAATATTGGAATTTTTTAAACAAGGAGTGAAATACAAACAATCAAAATCATATATCGAATTAACGAAGATGGACGAACAACATCAATCGTCATAAACAAAATCAGAAAAGACAAACAGTATACTAAAAAAAATATACTGATATAGGAAACTCATGATTTACCCACAAGTCGCAAACTAAACATTGAGAAATAACTCATATTTGTATACAAATCTAATTTCAAAAGTTTTAGAATAGAAAACAAGTTGCAAAACAATGAAACATAATTACAGAGATTAACACTTTTCTTAGCTACAATTAATGAGGTACATTCTTATTTGTTTTACTGCACAATTTTTATATTAATTGTATCATTTTAAACGTCATGCAGTTAACAATCTTCGCTATTTTCTTAAATTGTGCTTTGTCATATTTTTATGATAAACTTATATACGTAGGTAACGATTAAGTACTTTGTGGTTCCTAATGATATTTACCTATAACCCATCATACGCATTTCAAGTACAACGTTCAATGGATACTCATCTTTCCCCTCGTAATGGTCTACCTTGTTGATAACGACTTGAATAATTTTCAACAGTCGGAGAAAATCTCCCCTCAAATCAAAGGCAAACTCCATATCATTCACAGGGACTTTCTCTGTGAACTGTCTGTAAAGCAAGTCACAAGTTTTCAACATGTATTTTGATTAGTCGAATACTGGCAATAACATAATATTAACCTGTTTGCACATAAGCAACGCAGTGGAGAAATTAAACAAAAAAATATATATATTCTTTCCTACTTGGAAGTAAACTACTTCTAGATTCAGCTTAATAAAGTATAACGGTTGCCACTCGAAAAGCAGCAAAAACTTGTGATCTTTTCAATATACAACATGGATTGGGGTGGTCTCGTATTGTTCAGTCTTTAGTTATATGTGAAGTGTTTTGTAGACTGTTGTCTTTTTGTTCGTCCTTTAAGCTATGGTTTCTCTTTGATTAAAAATTGACGATAATAATGTGCACGATCTACCAAACCCGAGATTTCGTTTCCATGGTTATCACATATAATATAGGCTGCTTTTTCTGCAAAACGGGAATTACATACGCTGAGAAACTAATTACCTTTATGCTACCTTATAAAATGTTCATATTATATCTACCTGCTTTAAGAATATACACAAATCTTATAAGAAAACTACAAATCTGTCTACTGGTTTTACATAACAATCTTGGTATAAGCGGTAAAGAACTCAATCATATATCCATTCTAGTACATATTGTTATTTACCTCCTCCTCTTCTCTCTCTCTCTCTCTCTCTCTCTCTCTCTCTCTCTCTCTCTCTCTCTCTCGCTCTCTCTCTCAGTACCTTGTAACTTTCGACGCCCTAAAGGGTTTTATATTCTTCGACAACCCGACTTGTTGTACGTGATAACGCCAGACTGCTTAAATATATATGCCTACGACTGTTATCGTATTCTAGATAAGGCCACACCAAATTAATTTCTAGTTTTTCGGACTATTTCCTTAAAAAAGGGTAGCGAGCAAGCGAAATTATTTACTTTTTTTTCTTTCTGAAATTTTATTTTTAGCAGGCGAAAGAATTTTTTAGCTAGCGAGCGATATCATTTTTGAAATATCAAGAAATATCTAAGAAAAACACTTTATGCAAGTGAGCGATCAGAAATTTACACAGTTTTAGTGCTTTATGTTTTTATATATCTCACATCCTAGTTTTTATATTACCCTACTTTGCTTCTCAATTGGTTTTCCAACACCCTGTTGAACTGTTCACAACATTACTAGTACAAAAAAGGTTAACTAGTAGCAAAACCTACAACTTTCTGTAGTCTGCTCAAATAAAGATCATGCTGAACATGAAAAAGTTCAACAGCTTTGGACAGGCAGACATCCATGTTTGATGTAAGTTACAATTGATGTATTCTAAAAATAAGGAGTTGTGGTATGATTGCCAATGAGACAACTATCCACCAAAGATCAAATGAAGTGGATGTATGCAATTATAGGCAACTGTTCAGTCTTCAACCCATACTGTTTATTCCGCTATAAAAGGCCCTGACATGAAAAATAGTAAACAAATCAATTGACAAAATTAACGACCTAATTCATAACAAAACAATTTACGAAAAACAAATTTGACAGGCATGAACCAACAACAACTAGTGAACTGTGTATATGCTCCTGACTTGAGACAGGCACAAATGGTTTGCTGTTTCAAATAAACGTATGCAAAGCATACTAGTTTATGCATGCATGAAGCTTTAATATACATTTGTAAAACAATAAATATTTGTGTATTTATAAGGGGCTGTCCTTCAATAACCACACCAAGTTATACTACTTTGTATTCAAATGCATCACATCAAACGCTATATATATATTAACTAAACAAGAGGAACAATTCAGTACTTTCAATTAAGGGTGTAATACCACCAAATTATAGTACGTCACGTCCGGTTTCATACGAAAAAAGGTCGGAAAAAATATTCCTTGAATTTGATAACTAAGGAAAAGTTTCAAAGTCAATGACAGAGGAGGTGGGGCCAACTAATCTCCATGAAAATGAGATGTGCCAATGTTAATACAACTGCATACTAAATTTCATTGACCTACCACTAGGGCTTCCCTATAAATTAACCTAATCACAAACTAATACATGTAAAATAAGTAAAAGTTTTAAAGTCTATAGACAATCACTAAGGGGCCAGGACCAAAACATTTCCATCGAAGGAGAAGTGACAATTCTAATACAACTGCATACTAAATATGATTGACCTATCACTAGTGGTTCCCCCTAAATTGACCTAATCAGAAACTATTACATGTAAATTAAGCAAAAGTTTCAAAGTCAAAAGACCATGACTGAGGGGGTGGGGCCAAATAACCTCCATGGAAATACTTATGCAACTGCATATTAGATATCATTGACCTACCCCTAGTGGTTCTGAACTTCTCCATAAACTGACCTAATCAAAAATTAATACATTGTTGACGCCGCCGCCGCCGGAAACAACATACCTATGTCTTGCTTTTTGACTCCATCAAGACGAGACAAAAAAGGAGGTGAAATTTGATTGGATTACTTCTGGTGTTGGTTATTATCTTATATGCAATGCAATATTTTGTGAAATTTTCATCGTAGTACTGGACAGGATGAAATTTTACTCATTTCAAATATTTCTTTGTTTGAAACAAAGATAAATTCTGCACTTATTTTGGAAAAATGCCAATTTAACAAGGACTTATAGAAGAAAAACAATGGTGGTATTACTTCTTAGTCATTGCTTTGCTTAAGAATTTAATTGCAATTAAATCTTTATGTATATTGAGATATTGCTCTGTGTTGAAGGCCATACCGTGAACGTTACTCATTACTGCCATACTGGTTGCTAACCTCAACAAATGTGGACCCTGGTGGAAAGTTTGTCTCATTGACAATCATACAAATTCTTATTTTTAGAAGATTTGCTGTGTTTGCCTGCGTTTCCACTGTTACTATAAATATTCCACTCATGACGTCGTACGTTTAGAATATATACCATATTATATTTGGCCATAATAAAAGTTGTGAATGTTAGATCTTGATCGTTATTGGTGTTAATTTCCGTGTTTGTAAGGCGTTAATTTCAAACGCATAACTGAATAAAATTTTTGTTACATAAATTTAGAGACGGACGCGCGCGGCTCCGTTTAAAAAAAATACTTTTTACTCGTCGACCTTTCACAACACGCGGGGAATCCGACGAACGAGGTATCAATTTAGCGTGGCCTAACCAATAATCTTACCTAAAATGAACAGCATGTGGAAGTTCCTGATAACGAGTACCGCTCGGGTAAATGATTTTCTTTAACGCGCCAAACGATGACCATGCATACAGTGGAGTCAAAGAAGGATTTACAGTTAGTAAAGGAGATATCAGGTACAGAGCTTCCGCTGACAAGTAGTCTTTAACTTCTTTCCAGTTGTAATAGGTTTGGTTTGCAATTTCTACTTTCTTTGTTTCTTTGTTTATTATACGGAGGAAAACGTCATCATTTTTGGGATTATAATTAAACAGGCTCAGTGAGTTGTAAGGAAACCAAAGTACCTCAACAGACCAGTTTTCTTCAAATACTTGTTGTATCTTTTCAGCATTATAGAATAAATCGTCTAAGTTCATGTATCGATTTTCTACTTTGACGATAACCTCAGGAACGAGTTTCATTGTCATGTCAAATATAACTCCAAAACATCCAAAGTTTGCGGTGATAGCCCTCAACATTTCTTTATCGTCAGATGTATAGGTTCGTAATTGACCATCACTTCCGAATATGCGCATCTTTACTACATTGTCACTTGGTGTGTTAGTGTCAAATCCTACGCCCTGTTTGTACAAATAATTTTAATTATAATACAATTGGGTCACTTCATCATCGACAACCATCTTTAACGAAAATCAATTGTTGGTAATATTTAGGACTAACAGCATGATAAATATGAATTTGCTAACCTAGTTAACTGATTCCATTTCCGTATTCGATTTGGATATTAGTATTGTCTATGTAATGTTTAAGTATATGAAAAAGAGGGTGAAAGATACTACAGGAATAGTCAAAATCATCATTAAAAAACGAACTGACAATGCCATGGCAAAACAAAGGAATACCGATCAACAGTATTCAAAAAACAATAAATGTAACCAATATAAAAATAAGATGTTGTTTGATTGATAATAAGTCAAAAACGAACTGACAATGTCATGGCAAAACAAAGGAAGAACGACCAACAGCATTACAAAATTATAAATGGTAACCAATATAAAAATACGATGCTATTTGATTGTCAATGAGTCAACATCAGAGCCAACATGACATAGATGTTAGCAACTATAGGTCCATGAAGGCCTTCAACAATGAATAAATCTCATACCACTTAACATGCTGTAAAAGGTACGTCCATACTTTTGAAAATTATGTCTTTGTAATAATGTTTAAAAAAAACATGAAAAAAATGTAAAATTGAATAGAACAATGTATAGCATTGAATAGTTGTTTTCTATTATATATTCATAGCTTATTGTTCAAAACATTTTACGTATATTGTTCTATTGTTAGAATACTTATCTTCATCCCACTTGGTTAAACAGCTAATGTATGTCCTTATTCAATATACCTTCACTGTCTAGTGGCAGTCCAAATTTCACCGACCTTCATTCCGGACGGTCGCTATTACAGGACCTTTCCTTTTGTATTTAATAAAATATGTTCTTGTACTGAGAAGTATTTGCCACTGAACGTTAAGAAAAACACAATTTATCAATCATTATAATCGATCCATATATAAAAGTAGTTCACGATAATTCTACTACTTTAATCCCTCCTATGGAAAATGAAATAAATTTCCTGCCCAAAATCAGGAACCTCGACAGCGCATGTCTTCAGTTTTATATATTTTTTAATACAACATATATTATGACGAAAAAGTGCTCACGTGACTGCCTGTTGCTACAACACTAACCATCTGCACAGCCTCTATTATCACATTAGCTGCAATATTTAACTTATTCTTTAATTGGAACTTCTTAAAGTCTCCAGTTGTCACACCAGTCATGATGTCTACTTCACCCTTTTTGCGCTGAAATGCAAAGAGCATTAAAGGAGTTAGGTCTAGGTTAATGAAAAAGTAGTACGTTTTCGACAATGATTTCTACATATAAAGTCTATGCTTCTGAGTAACAAACATTATTTCTGTTGTACATTGATTATGTTCAAAATGTACGTGTCGACTTTCTAAAAATATTTCTATATCATTATCTTAGCTGTATTTAACAATTAAATTTAATTTCGAAATGTACGGACTATAATCATGCTCTTAAACTCCTTATTCAATATGACCTTCCAACTGTTCTGACTTGAGCGCCACTGAAGACGAAGTGCGTTTCCGGCGAACACAATTTTAAACCTGGAATCTTTGATGAATGTTTACAACCCCTGGGTCAATTTCACTGCTGCTAGACGTTTCTTTATCAGCGAGGTAGCTATCACTTTTGTGTTAACATGAAATATCACAGTTTTTTTTTCATTTTCTACATGCATAATGTTTCGTTTGCATCCTAAGATGTAAACCTAGTATCTTTGATGAGGTTTGCCACAAGAATGCTGGGAAAGCTTTCATGAACTTGACTATAATAAACGTACGTATTCAAAGTTTATTTATTTAAATATAATCTATATTGGTAAATCTTTAATGTAGTGAATTTAATTGTATGTACTAAGAGTAAGCAAACGTCAACACTGTATGATATGGCACATGTACTGTTGATAAGAAATACTAGCGCCTTCTTTATTCTTCTGATCGAAACAAATAGGTTGTCGGGAAACTAAAAACTACCTTAATCCCTCCTATGGAAAATGAAATAAATTTCCTGCCCAAAATCAGGAACCTCCACAGCGCATGTCTTCAGTTATATATTGGTGTTATCCCTTTATAGAATGTAATGAAGTCTTTGGTGAATCTACAGAAGAGCCCAATAAAGTAAAAAAAAAAGACAATGAACACCACAGCAAGCCGTTCATCACATTCAGAGTTTTCAAGTAACAATCATGCAAAAACAAATGTAGCGGCTACCGGCTTGGTTTGTTTTAACGTTATGGACAGGATGTTTCTCATTAGTAGAGTTTTAGTTTTAGTCATAAGAAGAAGCTACAGCGCTTCGTTCGATATAAAAATATCATAGTGTTACTTACATTGGATATTCTAATTCGGGAACCATCTTCATAGTCGCTTTTCATATTTTGCACATAAATAAGTAATTGGTTGTTGTCTGAAAATATTGGCGCCCAGCTGTGTCTGGATCCCGCGCACCTTACACGCAAACCTTGCTCAGATGCTGCTAATATCAATTTCTGCAATTCTTCTTTTGTAGAAGGAGCTGATGAAATAACCTGCATAGATTGTGTCTCTCCCCAGTTTTCAAACGTCTCTATTTGTATAGTTGGGGACTTACCTATTCGCTTTTGTAAACTCGATAGTTTATCTTCAATATCTCTCTGAAAACACATTTTGTGTATTCAATACAATAAAGATACAGGGTCAACGCGTATTGATCTGAAAAATGTAAGTGTAAATATATTGATGAAATAATACGGTCCATGTCATTTTCGGTTCTCTTATATCAAAGTTCGAAACTCGTTAATCTATTGTGATAGTGTGAATTCTCATGCCGAGTGATGCATGCCCTCTGAGTTATGATTTGAATTACACCAAAAACAAAAAACAAATCATGAGTTGAGGCGCCGACACATCGTATCGATTCGTGATGGTGACCGTAAAACTTATGTTGTGTTAATTTATTTGTTCTTCCTCATAACTCTTTTTGAGCAGTTTTTCCTCACTAGTATGTCAGAAGCACACACCTGTTAATGAAGTACGTTAACTGTGAACATGAACGAGCGTAACGTATGAACTGAGATGAGTAAACACCTAACGACGTAGCAGAGAGTATGTTACTGCTAAGAAATGGTAGTTGATAATAGAAGCTTGAAATATAATGAGTTTACATTTTGCGATATATTTATATTATATGGTCATTTAAATCTTCAAAGTTGGGTTCTTTCAAAAGTCATTCTCTGATTTATTCACATCACAATACACAAGTTTATGTTTTATAAGCGCTACCTGTTAAGAAGTTCTTACGAACGCGTAAATAAAATACTTACTTGGTCAGACAAATCTGGGTAAATATGCTTCGTTCTTTGATTCTTTATCTGAAACAGATTATTTTGAGAATTTAAGAATAAAAGAGAGAAAAGATATGGTTGGTTCATCCGCGAATGATAAATCCAATAAAAAACAACACTATGGCGAATGATAAAAACAACGAACGGAAAATAACAGTAACATAACATCATACAGAAAACCAGACTGCGGAACATGAACCCAATCATATCCGGGGTTGATCGCAGACGCTCCAAAACCCGTAAGCAGATCTTGATCGACATGTCGTGATGCTTTGTTTCGGTGTTAAGAAGAAGACATTATAAACTAGGAGTAATGATATTTTTCAAAATAACGACATGGTTATACATGTAGTGGCACGACGAATTCCATTAACCTTGCGAAAACTGTGCACACTTCGATATATTCGAAACAATCTCCTGTGTTATAAATGAAATGATAATTCCTCCATCTTGAGTGTTGCATATACTTTTGAGTTCAAAATGTGCAACGTTTTCGTTTCTTCATAGTTTCAAAAAATAATCTAATGTCTATCTCTGAATGTGTATCTATGCTATATGAAAATGAATTAAAATTTTGACACAAACTGATTTTACCTGTTCGTCAAACAATGCCTTGCAGTCAATCATCACTATTTGGTCATTACAACTTGCATCTTTTATCCAATCTTTGTCTCTGTTACCTAGTTCAAGTATGGCCATTTTCTGGTCAACCAGTGCTTTTTCCAAGCAGCATTTTAGTTGTTCACTATCACATGGCGTTTCATGTTTGACAATTACAGGATGAAACTATATAAAGAAACGCACACACAATTCTATGTATAAATGCATTCATAATTAATTATTTCCAATATATAGATAATGGTATAAGAAAGTGGTATATTTAATTTAAGTTCGTTCTTAGTTAAAATTCAGTTATTAAAATTTGCTGGTGTATTGAAATGATAAAGGCAATCCTGTTTCATTGACATCTGATAAAAAAAACTGACTAATTGCAGTTCATCAAACCTAAATAATAATACAATATATACAATATAATATGTTAAATACTTTAAACAAAATATGACAATAAAAAGATTCTACCACTGTATCTGTATTAAACCTGTTGACTACTTTCTTGTGTATATTTAAGAGAACCAAGTTAGGTGGGCGATGTCACGTGCTGTCCGTGTATATTTGATACACTGTGGACAAGAGTAAACGTTATCGTCATTGCCCGATATAATACGGCATATGTTAAATATTTAAAGTTAGTCTTAATGCTCATGTTTGTCCAAGTATACGATGGTCGGTAGGGTCTACATATTTCACAGACCATCAATGATCTGATATCTTACGCTCTCAAACAATAGACAATTTATTGACTGTGTTTATTCCAAATTAGGTTATTGCCAGCATGTCTGATAAGTATATAGTATTTCAATACATTCCGACATCTAAGATGCAACTCAAAGTTGACAGTTAGCTCTGGATCGATTAGATTTCGTATTTCTAAATTACTTCTTACCGTCTCCGACGATTGACCGCACCCCATTGTAAGTTATAGTCTGAAATAAATATCATAATATTTTTAAACAAATGACTGTACATAAATTATGTAAAGTTACAAACAACTCACCATCGTATTAGTATATAGCTGCATAATAAATTCCACAAGGTATCACGGTTTAATTTATATTCCTTTCTTTTATACTCGATTTAAATAAGCTTTTTGGTGTTTTTTTTTTTTTGTATAGTTTTTCACAACATATTAAATGAAAAGACAAAAAGCATGTTCTTACTGTACCGATATATTTGTTACATAACACATTAATATAACACATACCACATACCTCTGTACCTAATTGTTTGTAATTATGACTTAACATGGTTTATTGTATATTATTTAAGGCGTTTAATGTGAAGACATTAATCTGTTTAATTAATAATGTTATATGTACACAGGCCGTGAGCTAATTGGACTAGTTATATAACATATATAGCATATTTGACATACTAAAAGAAATATTTGTTTGTAATCTATAGTATATTTTCTGTTCTGCTCATTAACATTACGATTTATCTCAGATCAATACAAATAAACACAGGCAACAAAACACTATGCATGGTAACTAGTGCTTGGGATAATGTAAATAACGGTTTTTGTCTATGAAAAGGTATATACTATGCAATTTAGAGTGATGGGATTACCCCGAGCACTTACTTTCATTGTATATACCTGTTCATTGACTATCCAATTTAGCAAATATTCACAAACAAGAAATCTTATACTTATACTATTGATAGATTAAATTGATTTCACATATGTTTTTATTGTTCGCGATTAAGAAGCAACAAAATAGACGAAAAAAATTGGCGGTTTTTATTTTGGCGGATTCTAAATACTCAATTTTATATTTTGGCGGATACTGAAGTGCATGCAGTATAACAGTTAATAAAACTGACAGGACGAAAATAAGGAATCATATTTCGGATATAGTCCTGTATATATATATATATTTTTAAGGAGTAAATCATGAAAAAAACGTCGATGACATCAGGGTCACATGACAAAATTATCTTTATGAGCTTATAGACACAAAACGTTCAGCCAATTAGAAGGCATGTTACATCCAAAATTAAATTATATTTTTATTAAAAAAAAAGAACAAAAACACCGAACTCCAAGGTATTTTCAAAAAAGGGGGAACCCATAATAACTGACAAAATCGAACATAATCAACCAACGGATCGAGTAAAAAACAACAGTAGATAGTTATATGAACTTATACGTACAAATTAGGAACATATTGACGTGAAAGCAATATATTCCCTCAGAATCCCACAATAAGATGAAGCCGACGAGAAAATACTTTTATATTGAAAACAAATCAGAGCCCAAAAAATCCGTCTAATTATCAGTTAAGAATTTAGGTCAACTTCTATGGAATTGATATCATGAAAGGTGTATTCTGTACATTATCACATGTTTTGTATCCAATTCTGAATGTTCAGATAATTTGATATGAAACAGACGTTTTCTAAATTTACGCATTTTGTAAAATGCCTGTTAGACTCGGACATTTTCTGTATTGGCAATTTTTTCCGGTCTATAACAAAATGCCTGAAAAAAAATGGGTTGTCGCAAACAACACACATATAAATGTCGTCTAATATTTTCAAGTGTTCTCAAAGTAACATTAGAAAGATTATATTGACCTGCATCTTTCGGTTTATCTGAGCAGGCCTTTTGTTAACCCAAATTTGGAGAATGATTTTTGTAATCAAACTCAGATTTTTACCCAATCAAACGGCTGGTTATTGAGTACAGGTTAATGACCGTAGATCCAGATCTTTCTAAGAATGTAAAGACACAGTTATTTCTTGAAGCAGTGAAGACTAAGATACTTGTCTTTTCTCTTACTAAATAATTTAAAATGATGTGACTATATTGAACGCATATATTCTATCGATCTATCCCATCGAACTTTATAAAAAGTTTACAATAAACAGTGAAGTCTGCCTCATATCTTGACTAACATCTAAAATATGACAATGAGGGTCGATTGGGAACAAAAATTTACGACAAAATAAATGATTTCAGCTTCCCAATTGTGAACTTTGATTTTTTATGAAGCAACATTCCAGCAGCACCTGCATATGGAGTATATATCTCTAAGCTGGTTCATTATTCCAGATTTTGCATTTCCTATTATTATTTCATGCTTACAAGGGAAAAAAGACAAATCAACAGTACACAACACACAACATGGAAAACTAAAGACTGCTTAGCACGAACCCCACAAAAAGCCCTTGGCGATCTTATTTTATCCGGAATAGTGAGAAGATCCTGTTCTACATTTGGGAATCGTCTTGTCGCTCATATAAGTTCAAATCCGGTAGTCTCATTCTGTAGGTCACATTGGAGTAAAAAGAAGGGATTGAGGTTACGACAATGGCAACATATCCATCGTCATGTATGAAACAAATATTCCATAACAGTCAGCCAAATCGTGTCGCCTTCCGAAAATTTTTGATTGGATGATTTTAAATTCACTTCTTGCAACTCTTGGTCCATAGCTTCTTAGCAAGCAGCAACCCTCTATCAAGGAAATCGTGATAGGAAATATAAAAAAAATATGTTATATTGTATTACCTGGGAGATATATACTCCATATGCAAAACTGTATAAATCTGTTCGTTTACCAATTAAAAACTTCAATTCTGGTTGGCTTGATTAAATTTGCGTCTGTTGCAATTTAAGGGGCCGATAAATCGGTTTTGTCAAACCCCCTCCTTGTTCCTAAATACAACTTAATCCATACATGGAACAAACTTCTGCAAAATATTGATATTGGCACACTTGTTTAATGGCAATACAACTTACATGACAGCCTGTTGCTACAACACTAACTATATGAACACCATCTAAAATGACATAAGCAGGAATATGCACTTTGTTTTTTAGTTGGAACTTTTTAAAGTCTCCAGTCGTTACTCAGGTCATAATGTCTACATCTCCCTTTTCGCGCTGAAATGGCGTTAAAAGTATATTAGTTTTACATTTTATTGCATGTGTACATGGGATAAACATTATCAAAGACCTTATCTTCTGTATGAGTCCTACGTTGACATTTTTTAAATGCGACTTGTTGTTGAGAAAACATTTAGTCTGGTTTTGTATATCTTGAGTTTTATTTTCCTTTGGAAATCTAGTATTGATGACAGTTTATTACTAGTTGCTGTTATAAACCAATTTATTCATATGTAAGTTTGCGAAGTTATCATAGTACTTTATTTGACCTTATAAATTTTATGAATCGAGCATCATTTATGAGTCGTTTTTAGACAACACACGCAAATGGCGTTCACACTTAAAGCCTGGTATTTTTGATGAGTTTTTTTCACATCATTTCGGATCAATGTAGGCTAAATGTATTTTATAGACCATACTGTTACTGACCGTACGTTGCTCTCAGTTATGCTGGTCTTATACCATAATTTGTATATACTTCATTTCAAATTTCGCCTAACAATGTCACAGAAGAAGGGATTCGAAACCCGCTGTATAGACCCTACTGTTACGGACGTATGTTGCCCTCAGAATGTCATTTTGATTTGTATGTCCTATGATTGTTGTCTAACTGGCGTTTACTTAACATATCTTAATATTTACATATATAATAACGCGTACATTAAATATTCTTATTCTGGATCCATCTTTGTAGTCGCTTGTCATATTTTCTACATGAATAAGTAACTGATAGCTGTCTGAAAATATAGGGGCCCAGCTGTGTCCTTTTCCAGCACATCTAACACGCAGACCTTCTTCAGATGCTTCTAACACCAACTTTTGTAGTTCTTTTTTTTTTTTTTGTAGTCGGGGAAGACGAAATAACCTCCATAGCTTGTGTCTTTCCCCAGTTTACAAACTTCTCCTTCTGTACAGTTGGTGTCTCCCCAATCCGCGTTTTAAACTTGCTTTTTGTCAATATCGCCCTCAACACTTTGTGGCTATAACATGTATGATAAATGAAAAATATATAGATACAGCTTTTTTTTCTTATGTTTAGAGAACAACATTTTAATATATTGTGATTACTTTATGTCTCTGAATTATTTTATTTTTATTTCCTATATCTGAACATAGGTTTTTTTCTGTCGCCTTAACTTATCATCTGAGCATACTTTTCTTGTAGAACAAACTGTTTCAAAACTAAAAATTCACTTACAACAACATATAAGCAAGAATAAATTATTCATTCAATGTATTTTGTTATATTTCTAGTTGATATAAGCTTTCCCCTCATGTTTCTTTTTTTATAATTTGTGGATGGCTGGACCTTCATTGTGCAAAATTCAAATACGACCTCAAATTATACTTTTTTTTCGTGTCATTAATGTAGCTTCAATAATTCATTCCCGCTGTATGAGGTCTTAATACAAGGAAAACACTGTTCAGAGTTTAAGAAAGAAAAAAAAACGTTTTAGTATGCCAAATCATTTTATTAACAGGATATTACTGCTGCGCCTTTGGTACGACATTTCTACTATATCCAAAACAATTAACTCTTAAATAGTGAAATTTGAAATTATCGACGATCCTTGTGCTTTAAATTTGAACATTCCCAGTAAAGATTAAACATATTTTGTTATATCATGGTGTTTTGTTTTAAATACTTTTTGTTTTATCTGATTGTTTTCAATTAAATCAGTATATCTGTAATTTTGTTCATTGCTAAAGATGTCTTCAATTAACACCGATATTAATATAAGCTTGAATAATGTATTATTTGTAATTCCGTTTTTCCTACAACTTGCATATAACGAACAATTGTTATCTATTTCATAATCATTTTATATTAGCACGTTCTCGTCTTGAATATTCATGTAATATATTCTCCACATGATGATAAACCGACATTTATCAAGCCATATTACTAGGACCTTGAACAATTCAACATTTTCGATTATATTGAAATATAAGGTCATTTAAATAAATTTAAAAATTCATTTGTTTTTTATATAACATTGCCGATAAGTTCACATTAACAATAAACACATCCATTC